AAGAATGCAGAGAGAAAAAGAAACAAGGGTGAACTGGGACTGATGTCCAAGGACGACTGTCCCAAACCCCGCTCAGAAATATCTGTCACTGAGTCTGCAAAAATGCTGAGGCTGGGAGACTAGGGGTGGGGAACAGACCCAGGCGAGGGCAGGTGGCTTCATCTGTCTGTGCCTTACTTCCTGAGCTATAAAATGGGCCCAAGACCTTCCAAGCCACAGAACTGTCAGGAGGATTATATAAATGAAAGATTGTGAAGGGGGGTCTGCAGGCGTTCAGCAGATGAACAGTGGATAGCACACCCCATAAGACCCCAAGGTCAAAGGGCACCTTCATGAACAATTCATCCTGGATCCATGTGATGCTCAGTTGCTTCTACAATGTCCATCTCAAGTCCCAGCTGGGCTAACACCAGTGCCACTCCAGCAAAGGGCACTTGTTCCTCACTGCTCTCATTCCACCTGCAGACTGCTTCCACAGTTAGAAAGTTCTTCCTTTGACTCAGCTGATACCTGCCTCCACATGATGTCCACACACTGGTCATGTCTACATTTGATCCACAGTACCATTTCCCATCAGGTCTGCTCTCTGACCTCAGGCTATGTTGCTGGGGGATTCTTTGCTCTCCCCGAGATGACCTGGCCCTTGCTTTGTTGTCTAGAAAGCCCTCAGGACATCACCTGTCCCCTGACCTGCTTTGAAAGGGGGTTGGAGATCTACACAACAGACGTCAGGGAATATCAGCTGGGATCTTCTCAGTAAACCCACAGGCCACCTGGAGACTGTCCCCACCCTGCCACGCCTAGAGGCAGGACGTGAGACAGACAACTACAGAAGTAGGTGAACGCACTAAAAACCGACCTGCGGGATTTCTAAATGCTTACAGATTTCTGCTCAATACTATGAAGGCTTCTAGTGCAAATGTGAACCGCCTCCCACCTGACCCCCCACCCTGACTCAGCAGTCACCCTTCCCGCACAAACATCCTCTCCTCCTAGCAGGAATCCTGTCGGACTACCCTTGCTGTGTGCCCTTGGGCAAGTTATTTCCCTCTCTGTCCTCTTTGTTCCCTCAACAGTTGTAAGGGACTAACAGTAATAGCTCTCTCATGGGGCTTGTTCGGAGGGTCAAGTGCAGGCACCTACTTAGAACTCTGTCTGGCACAGACGGGCTGTGTGATACAAGTTAGCGGTCATTGTTCTTCTGAGTCTGTCTCCCTCAGGAGCACAGGGCTCAGCATAGAGGAGGGGCTTGTGTCCCCAGGAAGCCCATAATCCTAACAGGCACCCCATGTGAGCACTTCCTATCTGCCAGACGCTTTGCATGCCTGGGGCTACGATTAAGAGGAGGACGTGGGACCAGGACCACAGCCTGTGCTGTTACCAACTCTGCTGTGGGTGGATGACAGCACAGCAGGGAGACAGGATGCTTGCTCCTCACCTGCAGGAAAGCCTGGGTGCTGGACGACGAAGGGTTCTCGCCCTAGCCCTGTGCCCTTGCTGACTGGTGGGGCTGCCTCTGGGCGGGAAGGGCCTGTGAATAGCTGGACTCAGGGGAGAGGGTGTGGGTGCACCGTGACCCCTGCTGATGGCAGGTGGGAGTGGCCGACTGCAGGCCAGTTTTTACCAGGCAGAAATATCAGGAGCCTAAGCCTGGGGGAAAGGGTGCAGAGCTCAGATTCCCCCTCCTCCAGGGCAGGATTCCCAGAGGTCAGCTTTTGAATCTCCAGGCCTGGAGGGAGGGAGGGAGGGAGAGGTGAGGGGGATGGACCTTTTCCATGGGCAGCTTCATTCTGTCCACGGGAAGGACAGCTTGAGAGGGGTGGGGCTCAGGATGAGGACAAAGGGCAGCAGCCCCAAGATGCCCCGGGGAGCAGTGCCCCTTGGTGATGGAGGAGAAGGAGCTTTGGAACTGGGCAGGCCTGCGGTCAAATTCCACTCTGCCAACTTCCTGGCTGCCTGTCCCAAGGCAGGTCTCGTTTCTCCTCTGAGCTCAGTTTCCTCATCTGTGAAATGGGAAACTACTTCTGGAAGGCAGGTCCTGACAGCTGAAATAGGAATGAAATAGATAAAGGTCCCGGTATGGGGCAAGCATGCTGAAGATCTGACCGCTCTACTATAGCCCAGGTGAGCGCTTACTACCTACAGGGCTGCACCCAGGCCTCCTTCCTTTCCCCTCTCTGCTTGAAGCACAGCCCTGGCTTCTGGGCTTCTATTTTAAGCCCTCATAGAGCACCACTAAATACAGAAAACGCTTTGGTCCAAAAGAGGGCAGAGCTGACCCTTCTTGTCTGCAGGGAAGATTAAACAGTCCTTCCAGCCAAGCCCAGTGAAAATGCTATGCCCCTGCTGGCAAACTCGGCACATCATCCCGGCAGGGAGTGTGGCAGCTAAGAAATCTAAGCCTCCTGACTGCGGGCTGGCCTGCAAGAAACCATCCCCTCCTCTCACATGGCCTCTGCCCGCCCCTGACTCCACATACCACCCCGGCTTGCACTGGGATCCCCAGAATGCCACAGTTCCCCCCATCTGCCCTGCTCTCCCTCCACTCGGGCCTCTGTCTTAAACAGCTTTCCTTCCTTTGACTAACTTCTCTGCTTTCTGGTCTCACTGGACAGCACCTCCTCCAGGAAGCCTTCCTGCCTCCTGTTCCGGGCTATCACGGCCCCCAGGGTCCCCCTCCCCCACTTACTATAACTGCTCCATCCTTGTTGGTCTTTCCCACTAGACCTCGAGTCCCTCAATCCAGACTGTGACCCCAGGCTCAGCACAGAGCCCAGCCTGGAGGTCTGGTGAACAAACGAAAATGGCAAAATGCAACCTGCCAAGAAGATTCTTCTCGTCAGAAATCTGGTGTCCTGGACCGAGCTGAAGAACGCTTAGGAACTGCTGCTGTCAGTACGCATGAAAGGGATGCCTCCCAATCGGGCCCCTGGATTCAAGGCTGGTGGTCACCTGGGACAGAGCTTTCAAGGCAGGAAGTGAAGGGCAACAATAACCATGATAGCAAAAGTCCCAGGCATTGTGCCAAGACTACCTGCCCTATTCCATTTAATTATCACCGCCGCCAATTACGAGGGAGCTACCCCCGTCGTCCCCGTATCGCAGTGAGGAAACTGAGGCACAGAGAGAGACCTTGCCTGAAGTCACTCCCCTAAGAAATGGCTGAGCTTAGATTTGAAACCAGGCATCCTGACTCCGATATCTGTGTTCTAGACCCAGCACCAGACCTCCCACTGCTGTAGACCAGTGAATGGTCTCATCACAACTCTTAATCACTGCAGCCCACGGAGCCCAACACACACACACATGCACACACAACTGAAACAAAGTTCATGAAGCAAAAACACTCCTTACTACCTCAATGCACTTGATGTGTTATTTTTTATTCTGTTCTATTTTTAAAGCTGGTCAGCCATGACCCCCAGTAGACAGAGCACTTGGTCTGGTGGCCAGGCCTCATTTGGGGGCACTGGGCACCACCCCTCCCCCTCTGAGGCACAGGGTAGCAACAGCTTGTGCTCTCCATCGAGACAACCAGCTACTTGTCCTATTCTGTTAGTGCATCCTATATCCTCTTCCACTAGAGGCCAGCTCGATGGGGACCTCCAGGGGCTGTCCATCCCATTCAAGCTGAAACCCCAGGGCCTGGGACGTGACAGGTGGCTAAAAGATGTCAGCTGAATCAGTGAAGGTGCACACTCCGGAAAATGCAGAGCAGGACAGACCCCAGAGTCCCTCCAGCTTGGGCACATGGAGAGATGTTGCCTCCCTGTAAAATGGGGTAACTATAGCCCCTCTAAAGGGTTGTTACAAGGGTTTAAGATAGATAATGTGGGTAAAGGCCCTGACTCAGAGTTTGGCACAGAACAAGGTCAACACACGTCCTTCACTCCAACCTCTAGGATGCCTAACTATTGAACTAACACTAAAAAGGTCCATTGACTTGGTCAAGCACAGACCAACTTAATGATTAAACCCAACTGGCAGTTTGAATTCAGTCTCTTCTCCAACCAGAACTATGAGTGAGCTCCAGAGGCGAGCTGAGGGAGGGGTTGCAATGAACTGGCAGAAGAAGGGGGAAGAGCCCCCCGCCCCGGAATTCTAGTCTCCCCTAACCCCACTTGTTTATACTCTTACTATTTTTCTTTACAAAACCCAGATTAAGGGAGACGGAATCCAGAGAAAAGGGCCAGGGGGTATTAGGAATAAGACAGGCCTGGGTCTTCTAACCCCAGCTTTGCCACTGCCTAACTGTGTGAGTTGCATCGAGTGTTGGTAACCTCTCTGTGCCTCAGTCTCCTCATCTATAAAATGGAGACGAATGGCATCTTACTTTGCAGTACTGAACTGCAACGGGTAACGCACACAGTAGGAACTTAGCAAATGTGAATTCCCTTGCTGACTCCTGGACCGTTCTATTTATAGGGCATTCCTCTGAATGTGCCCTTTGTGAAGATTACCAAGGGGCTTCCCTACAGCGATCATAAAGGACCTTCCCTTTCTTTGGCTTGTCATCACTGCACACAATAACATACCATAATTACTCGGGGGGCCCCAACCGATGTCTGAACCATGGGTTGGGGGATACTGCATGTCAGAGGAAGAATGCAGCCCTTTGGAGCTAAATAAACCTGGATTCCAGTCCTGGTTCTACCAACTGGATGAGCCATGTGAACTGGGGTGAGTCATTTTATCTCCCTGAGCCTTAGTTTCCTTATCTGTAGATGGAGATGATGATCTCTACCTTGCAGGGCTGTTGCAAGAATTAAATTCATCAATTCATTCAACAGATATTTACCGAACAGCTATGCACTAGCCACTGCTCCAGGTGCTGAATATACGGCGGTACATAAAACACACAAAATCCTCCCTGGGGAGACAGATGATGAAACAGCTAACTACACATACAGTGTGGCACATGGTGATCATGCTATGTAGAAACACAGAGTGGGGGAAAGTAAGTGGGGCGTGCCAGGGGCAGGGGCAACGCCAGGACCCACATGGGAGCAGGGACCTAAAAGAAGCAAGGGGGAAACCATGTGGAGGTCTGGGGGAAGAATGTTCCAGGCAGAAGGATCAGCAAGTGCAGGAGCCTTAAGGAGGAGCATGCTTGGCATGTAAATGAAGCCACATATGCAGGAAGCCTGGCATGGAATCCAGGTGCTTAGCAAATGCCAGCTCTCTATTTCAAGTCCCATAGAAGGAACCCCACGCATGTGTCCTTTTCCTGAGAACGAAAGCACCAGGATTTCTACAGGGCAGGACTGAGCCAAGCATTCTTTCAGCCTAGGATGCAGGCAACATGTGAGCTCTACCACCGGTTTTTGAGCCCCTGCCAGCCACTAGGCTCTGGGTTGGGCAACCAGGGATCCAAGATAATCAAGACATGGTTTCTGTCCTCAGGCAGCCTCAAGGCAAGTTGTGGAGAGGGGCGACGGCAATGCAACGTGGTCGGATGGACAAGCAGAGACTTAAGAAGGTATCTAGGTAGCCTAGCCAAGGGTGGGATTGGGTGTGGGTGTTCAAGGAAGGCTTCCTGGATATGGTGACAAGTAAGCTGAATTGTGAGAGATGGACTAGACAAGAAAGGCTATTCCAAGTGTGGGGAGCGGCATGTACTGATCACAGAGTTGTAAAGAATGGCCCGGTGTATGTGAGAGACTAATTACAGAACAGGTTGGAAAACAATTAATGGCCCTTCATATTCTCAGCGCCAGCAACTAGGAATTCCAGTTCGCTCCCCTTCCTCCAACTCAGTGCAAGCTTCAGCCCCGTGGGGAGTTTTAATTTTTCACACTTAGCTACTGCAGCAGGTAATGACCTCAACCCCCCAGCTCCTTGCCCAGGATGGCCCAGTCCACACAGCAAGAACCCAGTGGGATGGAGAATATATAAATCTCAAGCTATTTTTAGCCTGCCTGGCTGTGTCTGTCCCTTCACCCACCCTAAAGCTGACCCACAGGTGGCACAATGTGTTTTTTTTGTTTTTATGTGGCTAGAACAGCATCAGTATTTTTTATTAAGAAATCCTACAAGGGGGCCCATGATGCAGCCAGGTGTCTTTGTGGCCAGGAGAGTATCTGCTGCCACCTTTGTCGGCATCCCTGGGTACCTCCGGACTAGGTGGGTGGACTCCCCCATCCCCATCCCCATCCCCATCCCCATCCCCATCCCCATCCAGCCAACATCCCTGCTCATAGGAGATCGAGGCCACCCTCCAGTAAGTGGACCTGGGTTCAAATCCCACCTCTGCCTCTGGCTAGCTGACGAGCTCCTGCTGGTGACTTCACCTGGCTGAAAATCTTGGGGGTTTTGAGCACAATGGCCCTCACACTGCCCAGAAGCTTAGAAAGTAGGAGTCGGCTCTTCTTCCATAAAGCAACCTTGGGACTCCCGAGCACAGCATCACCCATTTCAACCCCCTCCAGGGGAGGAAACAATTATTTTTTGATATAAAGCCTAGAAAGGGGGGCTATATGGGAGTGTTAGAGCACAAACCAGTGACATGTCTCTGCTCCTAAAACCTCACACTAAATTTGCCCCACAGCCAGATGATTTGCTATCCCACTGAGCTGGGCCTTTGTACTTTAAAAATACACACATCTCTCACTTTGTGCCTAAAGGATGCTACCAATGCCCAGACTTAAGCCAAAATAAGGGCTTTTTCTAAAGACTTGGGGTGGGGGGATGGCCGGGCAAGCAGAACGGGTTCAATCCAGATTACCCCCTCTTAGCGGTATGACCTTGGGTGAGTCATTTCTCCTCCTCTGAGCCTCGATTTCTTTATTTGTAAATTTGGGATAAATATCTTTATAATGAAAAGCTACTTTGTATGCCGAGCTGGGGTATGCAAAGCGCTGGACACAG